TTTAACATGTGTCTGCTCACCATCTCCGAGGACCTTAGCATCTTCTATAGAGCCTAAGATATTTTTCAGAACCATTCCATTGTGATTTTTAGAACCTCTACTGCCAAGATTGTTATGCCAAGCAATCAAATCACTAATTAGTAAACAATCATCAGCAAAAAAATGTCCGGCAGATCATCAACTGTCAAGGAATCAGCATGCACATAAACATTAATGAGGAACAATTTAGCATCTTGAAGCGTAATACTAACATACAAATACTCGGTATCGCTTATTTTTAGAGCGGAATGAAAGGATGCTGGAATATCATCTTTCATATAAGTCGTCAAACCTCTACAATTTCCAGTCAAATCAGCTGGCAATTCCAAACTTTGATAACCTCTTAGTTGCAAAGATATTCCGTTTGTCCCAACCTCTTGCAAAGCTATGACATCAATACTACTAGAATGAACATATGCATGAAGATCTGCTAACCATTTTTTTCAAACTATTAACATTCCAGGAAATTAAGCTGACATTATGATCTATTACAATAAATTTTCCCCGTCATATTCTTCACCAAAATAAGAACATTCTTTTTGATGTCGTCCCTTGGATTTTCCATATATTCCAAAACAGTCAAGAATGCTCGTCAGATCACCAAGCATTTCCTTGTTTACTACATCCTCTTTAGAAACCGAACCAACTCTATTTCCTAACATACTATGATTACCATTTTGCTCTAAATTGCTATCCACAATGACATTACTTGATTCCATCTCTACTAATGCTTCATTTTCCTTTAAACTATCTTTATTAACATTAGCAACATCACAATATGACACAAGATTCACCAAGCATTTCTTGATATCTAATCTGTACTGTGCTGGTGCATTAGGTATTTCCATACGCTTTTCCCACACATTTACAGCACTTGGTGTCCCTGCAACATCGCTCCTTACAGCATCACCTTTATCCTCTTGATTAGTGGACTGAGCTCGTGATTGCAATTGATGAACTTTCGGTGTTTTAGGACACACCCACGCGCTGGCATTGTGAGCCCCCCCCCCCAACAGAATCTACATCGAAAATCATTAAGGCATTTCCACGCCATGTGCCCCCACTTGCAACACTTATAGTATATTACTGGATATTCGCTTATATCCCAAACATCTCACAAAGACCTTCTCTGGCGCTGAACCTTTGATTAGCGCAATTATCTGCGGCTTAGATACTAGTTCTCCATCAAATCTAATTACACGTCTCTTGGCCCAAATAAATCTATCGTCAGCCAACACATCCTCGGGGTCAAGGTAAACAGGATAATCAAAAAGAATGATCTTAGTACACTTCCCAATGGACTTCACAGGCATTTCCATCACTACATTCTCCTTCACAGTTATATAAGGAATATGTTCACCTTCTTTAAAGAGCACTTGATACCCTTGATGGCACTTGGTGAGTCTAACTGACTACTTTATCTTATCATGAAAATTCATGCCATTATTCTTGGGGAAGTAAAGACGTGGACTCCTTGAAGAGTTACTGCCATCTAAACCATCAGTAGGGTTTACACTCATTGTACTGATCTTGGCTGAAGACTCACACCAGCAATTTTCTTTCGCTTATCCACCAAGTGGGAAATGTTATCTTCACTGCTTGTACCATCTCTATTCCTCCTTTTATTCTTCTTTTTTGCTATTAACAACTTTAAATACATGCTCTTGTTCTTCACATTCTCTGCTGCTAGACAGCTCCAAATCCGCCAACAGTCCCCCAGCAGTACCCTGGGCTACATTGCTGTGACTGCTATGCCCACCACCCAATTCCGTCAATGTATTAAACGACCTGCTCGTTGAAGCTCTTCCGCCAGTCATGACCGTACGTGTCCAGCCAGGGAGGTGTAGGAGAGCAACCTGCACGTCTTGACCAGTACGGCCAGCATTCGAGAAGTGTTTCGGTCAAGTTTTCTCCTTCATTGACGGTTTTGTTCAGTTTTTTTCCTTTATCCTCTTCGCCACTGATTGGCTTGTTAGCCGCTTGGGCGGTCGTTTATGTCTCTTTTACGCACTGTTGGCAAGTACTGGGCATGCACTGGTTCCAGGATGTATCTGTACCTGCCCATTGTTAGTCAAGTCTGGTCTTGGATGAGCTCACACTCGGCGCCGTCACAGCACTCTCGGGCAGATTGTTCCAAAAGTTCACAATCCTCACTCCGAAAAAGTTTTCCCTGACATTTTTTTTTTTATCTTGGGCTTCTTAAACCTTAAGCTGTGACCTCTAGTGGGGCAGGCATCCGCCAGCTCCAGATATGGATAATCGACTGAGTAATGTATATTAGGTCATCCTTTGCCCATCTGTAGTATAAGTTAGATAGTTGTAGATGTTCTAATCTCAAAGGGTAACTGAGGTGCCGTAGCTTGTTAGCCGCTTGGGCGGTCGTTTATGTCTCTTTTACGCACTGTTGGCAAGTACTGGGCATGCACTGGTTCCAGGATGTATCTGTACCTGCCCATTGTTAGTCAAGTCTGGTCTTGGATGAGCTCACACTCGGCGCCGTCACAGCACTCTCGGGCAGATTGTTCCAAAAGTTCACAATCCTCACTCCGAAAAAGTTTTCCCTGACATTTTTTTTTTTATCTTGGGCTTCTTAAACCTTAAGCTGTGACCTCTAGTGGGGCAGGCATCCGCCAGCTCCAGATATGGATAATCGACTGAGTAATGTATATTAGGTCATCCTTTGCCCATCTGTAGTATAAGTTAGATAGTTGTAGATGTTCTAATCTCAAAGGGTAACTGAGGTGCCGTAGTGCAGGTACAAGTCTGGTGGCCCTCCTTTTGACGTTTTTAAATAACTGACAGCGTTTGGCATCTCTTGGGGACAGACAGGGCGATAGTACTCCAAACAGGGAATCACCACACTCGTGAAGATCGTTACGAGGGTATCTGAACGATCTTCTCATATGACCCACAAGCTGAGTCGTTTGATTTACCGTCTCACGAAGATCCGAAATATTTAGTTCGTTGTCAATATACACACCCGGGTCCTTTTTACATTTGTATTGTTACAACATTTATAACTTTTTGTAAGCCCCAGAAGGGGATGGTAAAGGCGAGGGTGGGAGTAGTATACTACCCTGTCCTTTTGATGTAATAGTTTTATTGTCAATAAAAAATTTAAATTTCAATTCAATCTTTTCACATTTGGTCTCCTTTAATGCTGTTTTTTCGTCCAGTTGGGACTTGTAATATATGCCTGCCTACTGTTGATACGACCTAGGTGTATCCTTTTACATTTCGTGATTTTGAATCTTAACAGCCATTTCTTAACCACCCCTGAAACTGATAGAGATCTTTCTGTAGTTCTTCACAGTCTATTTGGTTTTTAATTTCCCTGAATAACTTGACATTGTCCGCGAGAATTTGTATGGAGGAGTGTATAGCTTCCGGCATGGCATTTATGAAACAAAAAACAACGGGCCCAGTACACTCCCCTATGATACCCCGCTTGTCACAGGTATAACAACCTTAATCCCTACTTAATTCCCAACTGTGCAGTCATCCCAACCTTCTTCCAGTAATGTGGAGGACACTTATGGCTTTATCTGTTTGACCTCCCCTAGTCACATCAACTTATTCTTTATTACCCCAACCATAATCCCACTACATCTTGAACCATTCATTTATATGTCTCGGACTGATACAGATGGACTTTTTGCATTAAATTATTCATTATTAATGACTTCACTCAGTTACTCAATTAGTCACAGACCTAACTCAAATCCTCGATTACCCCTGGTGATAAAAGATACATTCTAGATTTGTTTCTCATAACACATCCAACTTGCAGTGTTATTGTCGCTTCTCTGTGTGGTTAATCTCGCTTAAATCCTTCTCTCCCACACGTGCATTACAGTTCAGTATTTGGCACAATGGTAGAGCTAACTAGAGCAAGGATGGTGTCATACTCCCACTCCACCTGGAACTTCAACATAGACCCGTCCACTTATGTTGACAACAATTCACAAACCAATCATTTTGACACAGAACTCTTTATCCCCTACTTTGTACAGTACTTACAAAGAAACAGCGTGGCAGTGGTGATAACGGGACCCAGTAAACTTGATGAAGGGACATGATAAGGTTACTTTATGCACTGAATAAGTAAATTTTTTATCAATATATTTCTAGCTTGTTTATGATGATTTTTTTTTACACAGTAGTACAGTATATTTACCACTCCACTACAAGAAAAGCATAAAACCTGGTTGTGAACAATCTGATAAAATGGAACGGGGTGTGCCGGAGAGGGAGCTGTTGCAACTGATAGGATGTACTGAAGACCAGGATTTGTACAGGATATATACACCTCAAATTATAATTTTCATTATTAGCATCAGACTTAATTAATTTTTCAAAGGCTGGCAGGTGTGTTGCCAAAGTGCATAGAATTAAATTTAATGAATTATTGTTGACGAGGAATTAATTAATGTGAAGCATCGGTGAAGTTAGTGAAATAGAATATGATCCCATAATGTATTCTTTGTTGGCTAGTTTATAAGGAATAATTGATGAGGTTCTCTCCAGTTTATGTAACTTCAAAATCTCAATTAAATATAGCCTTGATCTATTCCCTGGGCACCAGCCGTACTAGATACTAAAATTACTTAAACAAAACTGGATGCAGAAATGTTTATTAAAATTAGCCAGTTAAAATCAACATTATTCTTTAGTCAGTTATATGATGCCTTTTCTTTAATATATTTAACTAAGCTACTTGTAAATTTACTGGAGAAATAGTTGTATTTCAGTTTTCTAAAATAAGAGTTTACATTGTCTAAAAGGCATGGAGATCACTCAGCAAAGGGTGTCTTAAGGGCTTTCTTGTTTCTTTTACTGTAACTATAAAGATATGCTCAGACACTTTGTGAAGTACTTTAGTGATACTGCATAAAGTGAGCACGGTAATGCACTATCCAGGGAGGAAGAAACAACTCTGCAGTAACTTAATGTATACACAGACAGGGACGCTGACAGAGGATGACCTGGCACTGGCTGGGGTGGTGCCTAGCGTGAAGGGTGATCTGGCAGCACCTTTGGAGGACCTGGCACACCTCTCACCTGATCAGCCCCTCACTAAGGCCCTTGCCACCTGCCACTCACTCACCCTCATCAACGGCAGGCTCATCGGTTACCCTCTTGATGTTAAAATATTCACCGGTATTGATTGGGTAGGTTGTTATGCCTGTCTCATATTGTGATAGTTCTTGTTCTAGAATTAAGATTCATTTTGACGCTGCTTCATTTGGAGGAGGACAAATTGATTTTCTGTCCATGTATATTCCTCTACATATTATCATCACCACTGTTTTATGGCCATTATCCACTCTTGCCTGGGTTAGCCACTACAGGATACATTTTTTATCATTTTCACCACTTACCAGCTTACTAGCAGTTTGGGTAATTGGTCTATCCAATGTTAGTCACAGGAGGAAACCGAACTCTGGGAAATCTGTGATTTTTGGTAGGGTCACACTGGATGATACCCTCCTCCGTTGTGTCGGAGCCAAGCAGGACTCGAACCCCTGACATACTGGTGAGAGATACGCGCGTTACACGAAGGGTTCGGCCAAAAACATCCATTATATAGCAGCATTAGTTTTAATTTTCTTGGCATGTATGCCATGGAATAATTGATTAAAATTTCATTTGGTATGATTAATTTATATTTGTATTTTTTCTCATCAGCATGCACCCACTAAATATGTAGTGGGCAGGGAGGGTGTCTGTTTTACAAACAAAACTCTACTTGAGTTAATGGTTCCCTTTATATTCCTCCATAGCACTGTACAACTGATCATCAAGGAATAAAATCCCTCTATAGTATTTGGTATCAGAGAAAACTTTAAACATACCGACAGTGGAGCAGTTAAGGAATAATTCATACTAAACAAGATACAACACATGTAATGTAATTTACCTTGAGCCACAAGACCATTTTCACTTAGAAACTCTTGATCTATGACAACAAAAATATTAAAACTTTTATACCAGTAATATTTTTCATCACTGATTTAGCAACAGTTTTTTAAATAGAGTGTTCATATCTTACTCCAAAACATCTTAACTGTTGCCTTCCTAGGTGTTGGAGGAGCCAGATGCTGTGGTGAACTCAGACTATGGAATAGTGACACAGCTGCTTGTACAGCCCAGAGCTAAGGAAGGTGTGGACCCAAACGTGCACCAGATGGCAATTCTAAAGACATTCCCCTTTGAATCGCGAGAACAGCGTATGACAGTGGTGACCCGCAGCAGGACCAGCACGGCCCTAGAAATCTTCATTAAGGGTGCCCCTGAGAAGGTTGCATCACTCTGCAGGCCTGATACGGGTAACCTGACCTATACATTTACTATTTTTTTCTATTTTACAAACTCATGTCATTCTTAGCTACCATATTTCCCTCCACATAAGACATAATATATCTATAAAGAAAAAATCTCCAAATATTACCAGCATCTTGTATGTCAATGGTTAACCCTTAGGGGATACAGTCACCATTATGGTACGGTACAAAACTAAAACCCAGGCTCCCCCATTTGACACACTGGCTTCCAATTAATCCCAAAATGAAATATATATGATCAAGAAATATTAACTGTGATTACTTTCTGTGCAGTGTAAATTGTCCTCGTTTAGGAAATTGCATCACATCCATTACTGGATTTTTTTCCGGCGTGTTATATCTATCAGCATGAGTGGAAAGTCTGTATTATTATTATAATTAATACTAATATCATTATTATTATTTTTTTATGAATTATTATTATTATTATTATTATTATTATTAATATTATTATTATTATTATCATTATTATTACATTTTCTCCCCCCAGTCCCCGATGTGGGTCAGTGACCTGCGCCCGGGTGGGCTAATCCCAGTAAAAAAAAAAAAAGTCGAACTAGTGGACAAGTTAAGCAGCCTGCTAAAATGACCAGGAAGAGTATCCATTTGAGTACGGTACCAAAATGGAAGTATTGAAAAGTTCTGAGAAAATCTTTGTCAATGCTGAGTTTGCAACCCCTATAAGTGCAAGGAGTACTTTTTTTTACTGAGAATAGCCCACCCGGGCACAGGTCATCAACCCACAACGGGGCCCAGGGGGCGAAAAAATAAGAATAAAAAGAAATTAAAAATAGAATAGGAAAAGGTCATATTAATCTACACCACAAAGATACCGGAAAACAAGCTTTTTAAAGTGAGACATTGAATGAGTGTGGAAACATAGAAGAAGGTAGAGCATTCCACAGTTTGGCTGTGTGAGGAAAGAAGGATGTACTATAGCGGGTACTAGTGTGACCGACATCCACAGAGAAATGGTGGGCACTGCGGGCAAGACGAGTGTTAGGAGCCCACGGCCTTGCCGGCGGTACATAGGATGCCAAATCCACCGAACATCGCCCGTTAAAGTACTTGTAAAAGAGAGAGAGGGAAGCAACATTGCGGCGAAGAGACAGGGAAGAAAGATTGTCAACTAAAGGAGGAGAGTTAATAAGACGAAATGCCTTTGATTTCACCCTCTCTAACAGTTGGACAGAAGAAGAGCCACTTCAGATATGAAAGCAGTACTCCAAGTTAAGACGAATGAATCCCTTATAAACTTGAAGCCTATGGCATCTGTACAGCATTCCCAGCTTTCGGGAGGCAGCTTAAGCAATGTTGTGGATGTGTGGCTTCCATGACATATTAGAGGAAATGGTGGGGCCTAGCATATCTATTTTAGAATTTGGCAGAATGATAGCGTCCTGAAATGTTATTGGTGGGAGATCATCTAATTTGGAAAGTGTAATTTGTACATACTGAGCTTATAACTATCAAATTTAACCAAGTTTCTACCTCCCCATTCTGAGATACGGCACAGGTCTGCATTGATATATGTAATGATATCAGCTTGTCATGGTTTTGGGGTGGATCGGTGGTAGTAGGAGTGGATTATATTATATAAAGATAATAATATGTCGTATTTCTTATTTCTTACCGTAGAGTCCGATACCTTCACACTGATTACTTACATGAGATTATGGCGTATCTACGTAGAAGTTCACTCCACCACTCGACATTCCATGATTCATACTTGATAAATGATGATTTAATGAATTCATTTAATTTTCAACATCCATCTAAGTTATTGGTTATACTATGTCATAACCAATCAGTCATTACCTTTAGTAATAATAAGATAGGATCACAGATACGGGCAGATAATTGCACTTACATTTATTTGTCAAGCTTCCATACGATGATTTACAATTTGCATGGATTATGATTTACTCACGTTCACGCTGTAATAAAATTAATCTTCTAAAAGAGAATTTTAACTTGGGGACACATGTGATTACTCTACTATGGGTATAACTTAACAGAGCCTTAATTCTTCAAGTGATACATTTACTGCCAGCCTGGATTGCTTTTGTTGCCATAACAACAAAAAGGTACTCTTGGGTTACCACACATAGTCTCGCGTCACTGACAGTCACTGTGGACGGTTGTCGCGGCAAGTAGAACTGGTAAGCGTGACTTGAATTAACCATTAGGTGCAATAGACCAGCCTGGATTGCCTTTGTCGCAACCAGGCTTCCACACGTGATATTTCCACGGGGATAACAAACCTAGGTTAACACACTTAGTCTCGTGTCGATCACGGTCACGGTAGACGGGTGTCGTGCAGGAGAACTCTGTAAGCGTAAATTAATTAACCATTTACTGTAGGTTTGATAGGCCAGCCTGGATTGCTCTTGTCGCAACCAGGCATCCACACGTGATATTTCCAAGGGGATAACAAACCTAGGTTAACACACTTAGTCTCGTGTCGACGACGGTTCACAGGACGGAGTGCGGTGGAGGACTCTGTGTGGTGTGGTGTCCCGCCCCCCCTTCAGGAGGGAGAGGCTGGAGGCGACGTCTTAACTAACCCATGGCTCAGGGGATACTACTTAAAATGAGGTTTTTGGGTGTGAAGCGATGAACAGTACAACACTGTTTCACTGCCCACCCTCCTAAAGGCTGGCTAACATACACTAATGGAAAAACACATGTCCCAGTTATGCCTCGCCGGGCGTCTTATCTCTGGTAAAACAAACTTTGGAGTTGGTTGCGTGGGTAAGCCTAACGCAACCTATGACAATCGCCCCTACTAAGAAAAATTTTTCTTTGGAGAATAAAAATTTCAGCACCTGTATACAATCAAGAGAATGCCTAGCCCAGACACACAATTCAACATTCATACTGTGGTGTGTGTGTGTGTGTGGCACTAACACTGCAACGGGATGTAGTCGCCAATCGCCACTGAGGGAAAACCTCAACATTTACTTTAGATTTTCAGGCTGGAGGAAAACTCCGAGGTGAGGGTGACAATTCCCGAGCAATAGTTCATGCTAAGCGTAAACACGCTACATTTATGTTACAGCAACGTGTTGTGTAGTGTAGGGTATGTAGACATTGTTTAGGTGGTACAGGTGTCGTGTTATGTTCTTAAATGTAGAGAGGTGTGAAAAGGTTTACATAACATTTGAAGAGTCGTCAGATGCGTGGAGGTTCGAGTTGACCGGAACATATGGACACTCCCACACATAGGTCAGGTCCTAGACACGCTCTGCAATGTCGAATGAACTTTCCCGGTGGTGAAGAGAAGGACTCCTCCAGCCGGCTGATGTGGAACTGGGTCCCTCTTTCGCTGAGGGCCCCCAAGGTGAGGGTGTACTCTGCCCATCACTCACCATTGGGTCTACTGTCCACCGCCTCAAGCTGAAGTCCACCAAAATGAAGATGCAAATCTGTCCGTCACTCGCCCTTGGGTTTACTGTCCACCGCCTCGTAGTGAATCAGGAGGCTGAGGTGGAACTGGGTCCCTCCGTTGATGAGGACCCCCAAAGGAGTGGAGGTACTCTTCCCATCACTCACCCTTGAGTGTGCAGTCCACCGCCTCGTACTGAATCAGCTGGCTGATGTGGAACTGGGTTTGCTGACCACAGCGTCCGCCGCCACCCTCTCAAGGGTTCGGGGATCACTGTGAGAGGCCACAGGGGTGCAGGTAGAACTCGCCCTCCGTCGCTGGTTCTGGCAAACATCACAAGTCCTCTTCTGTTTCTTTATTTTCCACCTTTAACTTCACATTCAAAATTTCTTAGAGTCCCCTCAAATGTACTAGTAATCATTTCGTAGTACAATATACGCGTTTGCACAAACTGCTGACAAGAGTGCAATTATCCGCGGTCTGTGTCCCTGTTCGGGCGCCAATTGTCATGGTTTTGGGGTGGATCGGTGGTAGTAGGAGTGGATTATATTATATAAAGATAATAATATGTCGTATTTCTTATTTCTTACCGTAGAGTCCGATACCTTCACACTGATTACTTACAGGAGATTATGGCGTATCTACGTAGAAGTTCACTCCACCACTCGACATTCCATGATTTATACTTGATAAATGATGATTTAATGAATTCATTTAATTTTCAACATCCATCTAAGTTATTGGTTATACTATGTCATAACCAATCAGTCATTACCTTTAGTAATAATAAGATAGGATCACAGATACGGGCAGATAATTGCACTTACATTTATTTGTCAAGCTTCCATACGATGATTTACAATTTGCATGGATATATGATTTACTCACGTTCACGCTGTAATAAAATTAATCTTCTAAAAGAGAATTTTAACTTGGGGACACATGTGATTACTCTACTATGGGTATAACTTAACAGAGCCTTAATTCTTCAAGTGATACATTTACTGCCAGCCTGGATTGCTTTTGTTGCAACCAGGCTTCATCACAAGAACTTCTTCCCACGGCCATAACAACAAAAAGGTACTCTTGGGTTACCACACATAGTCTCGCGTCACTGACAGTCACTGTGGACGGTTGTCGCGGCAAGTAGAACTGGTAAGCGTGACTTGAATTAACCATTAGGTGCAATAGACCAGCCTGGATTGCCTTTGTCGCAACCAGGCTTCCACACGTGATATTTCCACGGGGATAACAAACCTAGGTTAACACACTTAGTCTCGTGTCGATCACGGTCACGGTAGACGGGTGTCGTGCAGGAGAACTCTGTAAGCGTGAATTAATTAACCATTTACTGTAGGTTTGATAGGCCAGCCTGGATTGCTCTTGTCGCAACCAGGCATCCACACGTGATATTTCCAAGGGGATAACAAACCTAGGTTAACACACTTAGTCTCGTGTCGACGACGGTTCACAGGACGGAGTGCGGTGGAGGACTCTGTGTGGTGTGGTGTCCCGCCCCCCCTTCAGGAGGGAGAGGCTGGAGGCGACGTCTTAACTAACCCATGGCTCAGGGGATACTACTTAAAATGAGGTTTTTGGGTGTGAAGCGATGAACAGTACAACACTGTTTCACTGCCCACCCTCCTAAAGGCTGGCTAACATACACTAATGGAAATACACATGTCCCAGTTATGCCTCGCCGGGCGTCTTATCTCTGGTAAAACAAACTTTGGAGTTGGTTGCGTGGGTAAGCCTAACGCAACCTATGACAATCGCCCCTACTAAGAAAAATTTTTCTTTGGAGAATAAAAATTTCAGCACCTGTATACAATCAAGAGAATGCCTAGCCCAGACACACAATTCAACATTCATACTGTGGTGTGTGTGTGTGTGTGGCACTAACACTGCAACGGGATGTAGTCGCCAATCGCCACTGAGGGAAAACCTCAACATTTACTTTAGATTTTCAGGCTGGAGGAAAACTCCGAGGTGAGGGTGACAATTCCCGAGCAATAGTTCATGCTAAGCGTAAACACGCTACATTTATGTTACAGCAACGTGTTGTGTAGTGTAGGGTATGTAGACATTGTTTAGGTGGTACAGGTGTCGTGTTATGTTCTTAAATGTAGAGAGGTGTGAAAAGGTTTACATAACATTTGAAGAGTCGTCAGATGCGTGGAGGTTCGAGTTGACCGGAACATATGGACACTCCCACACATAGGTCAGGTCCTAGACACGCTCTGCAATGTCGAATGAACTTTCCCGGTGGTGAAGAGAAGGACTCCTCCAGCCGGCTGATGTGGAACTGGGTCCCTCTTTCGCTGAGGGCCCCCAAGGTGAGGGTGTACTCTGCCCATCACTCACCATTGGGTCTACTGTCCACCGCCTCAAGCTGAAGTCCACCAAAATGAAGATGCAAATCTGTCCGTCACTCGCCCTTGGGTTTACTGTCCACCGCCTCGTAGTGAATCAGGAGGCTGAGGTGGAACTGGGTCCCTCCGTTGATGAGGACCCCCAAAGGAGTGGAGGTACTCTTCCCATCACTCACCCTTGAGTGTGCAGTCCACCGCCTCGTACTGAATCAGCTGGCTGATGTGGAACTGGGTTTGCTGACCACAGCGTCCGCCGCCACCCTCTCAAGGGTTCGGGGATCACTGTGAGAGGCCACAGGGGTGCAGGTAGAACTCGCCCTCCGTCGCTGGTTCTGGCAAACATCACAAGTCCTCTTCTGTTTCTTTATTTTCCACCTTTAACTTCACATTCAAAATTTCTTAGAGTCCCCTCAAATGTACTAGTAATCATTTCGTAGTACAATATACGCGTTTGCACAAACTGCTGACAAGAGTGCAATTATCCGCGGTCTGTGTCCCTGTTCGGGCGCCAATTGTCATGGTTTTGGGGTGGATCGGTGGTAGTAGGAGTGGATTATATTATATAAAGATAATAATATGTCGTATTTCTTATTTCTTACCGTAGAGTCCGATACCTTCACACTGATTACTTACAGGAGATTATGGCGTATCTACGTAGAAGTTCACTCCACCACTCGACATTCCATGATTTATACTTGATAAATGATGATTTAATGAATTCATTTAATTTTCAACATCCATCTAAGTTATTGGTTATACTATGTCATAACCAATCAGTCATTACCTTTAGTAATAATAAGATAGGATCACAGATACGGGCAGATAATTGCACTTACATTTATTTGTCAAGCTTCCATACGATGATTTACAATTTGCATGGATATATGATTTACTCACGTTCACGCTGTAATAAAATTAATCTTCTAAAAGAGAATTTTAACTTGGGGACACATGTGATTACTCTACTATGGGTATAACTTAACAGAGCCTTAATTCTTCAAGTGATACATTTACTGCCAGCCTGGATTGCTTTTGTTGCAACCAGGCTTCATCACAAGAACTTCTTCCCACGGCCATAACAACAAAAAGGTACTCTTGGGTTACCACACATAGTCTCGCGTCACTGACAGTCACTGTGGACGGTTGTCGCGGCAAGTAGAACTGGTAAGCGTGACTTGAATTAACCATTAGGTGCAATAGACCAGCCTGGATTGCTTTTGTCGCAACCAGGCTTCCACACGTGATATTTCCACGGGGATAACAAACCTAGGTTAACACACTTAGTCTCGTGTCGATCACGGTCACGGTAGACGGGTGTCGTGCAGGAGAACTCTGTAAGCGTGAATTAATTAACCATTTACTGTAGGTTTGATAGGCCAGCCTGGATTGCTCTTGTCGCAACCAGGCATCCACACGTGATATTTCCACGGGGATAACAAACCTAGGTTAACACACTTAGTCTCGTGTCGACGACAGTTCACAGGACGGAGTGCGGTGGAGGACTCTGTGTGGTGTGGTGTCCCGCCCCCCCCTTCAGGAGGGAGAGGCTGGAGGCGACGTCTTAACTAACCCATGGCTCAGGGGATACTACTTAAAATGAGGTTTTTGGGTGTGAAGCGATGAACAGTACAACACTGTTTCACTGCCCACCCTCCTAAAGGCTGGATAACATACACTAATGGAAAAACACATGTCCCAGTTATGCCTCGCCGGGCGTCTTATCTCTGGTAAAACAAACTTTGGAGTTGGTTGCGTGGGTAAGCCTAACTCAACCTATGACACAGCTCTAGAAACAGATTTAGTTTGAGAGTTAGGGTGGAAGGGGAAAATGTGAAGAAGAGTGAAGAGTAAAATCATCAGCATAAGAATGGATAGAATTAGTTGTAGTGTGAAGTAAATCATTGATAAAAAGAAGGAAGAGAGCAGGTGAAAGAACAGAACCCCGTGGGACTCCACTATTGGAAGAGAAAGAGCGAGAGATCGATCCCTCGACAACAACTGCCATGGATCGGTTCTCAAGGAAGCTTAAGATTAGGGCTGTTAATCTGGATAGACGACAAGATTCAGTGCCATGTGCTCATTAGCCTGGCAATTATACAAGCTGTTAAGAGTTGGGGATTTAGAATATAGTTAAAAGTCTACCCAGATTACAACTGGTAACAACAATAAAAAAACAAAGACAATCGGACTATAAAAGGGTAACCAAAGGATGCGAGTTTTTGTTGTGTATAATAAAGTACCATAAATTCCTTAACCAAAATATTCAGCTTCCTATAAATTACCCTTAACCAAACTTAACCTAAACATTAACAGTATATACATATTAATACAACATAAAACAATCGTGAAGCAAGGTGGAGGTGGGAGAGGCAATACAAGATTACAAATACTTAAGTGAGGAGCTGAGATGGCTGACGAGTAAGGCTGAGTATTGTAGAAGACGGTAGGTAGTCACTGTGCCGTAGGTTTAGAGGATAGGTGATCCTGTGGTCACTTCCCAGAGTGTAGTGCTCTCTCCTCGAACTCGAGCTGACAAAGAAGACTTGGAGGAAGTGACGCAACAACCAGGATATGGAGAAGGGAAACCCCGGAGTGGTAACTAAGACGAGTCATACTCGTGTCTCGTCCCTAGATGGCGTTGCTCGTGGTGCTGGGTAGGTAGATCAGGACAATAGATGGCGTGGTTCGTAGTGCTGGGTAGGTAGATCATGACAATTGGTGGAGGGGTTCATAACAAAGCTAAGACTGATAACATGATATCCAATGAGCAAGGATTGATTAGTGTCCTATTGCTGCCAACACTACATCACTTATCCAACCTATAATATACATCATATGCTTGGTCAGCTTGTGATTAGACAGCAAGAGGAACAAGGGGAAATGAGTAAGAAATGCAAATGGTCCAAGAAGTTGAGCAAGGAGTACAAGAATATGAGGCATGACAAGTACATCACCAAGAGGAGCACCCCCACCACTTTTCAACCCTCTCCCAATCAACTCAGCCATTACCTCATCATCGAAGAGTACCTATTATTAATACAGTATTCTTCCTTTTTATTTGTTTACAATAGGTCAGAACATGAAAATATTAAGCTACTGTTGTTTAAAAACATATTTTCATTCATTATTTGTATGGTAAGAATTATATTTTGTGGACTGTATATACTAAGCTTTTTCTGGCAAAATTACTTAACCCAAGTCCGCTGCAGAAAGCCGTTACAGATCTCCCAATCAGGGCCACCTCTGATCAGGAGTCACCCCTGATCAGTGGGGAGGCACAGAAAGGGCGTTGTCTGGAACGAGCTTCCTGGGTGTGTGAGTAATGGTGGTGAGGTGGTCGTTTTCGTTCGGGTCGTCAACGGTTAAAGACAGGCTGGCAGGCTTTAGCAGTGAAGGGTCAGAAGAGAGGTCCGTTCACGGCGAAGGCTGGCTGGCGAATGTTGAAGAGGCAGGTCACCACGAGGTCAGGTCTTAAATAGCAGGGGTAGGCCGGGCTTAGAAGTTGACCCCCGCTCCGTGGGCGGCGCTGGTTGACCTAGACCACGAGGCACACACTGGGGAATTCGTGGGGTCGGCTACTCAGCGACAAACAGCGTTTGTAGGGGAGAAGTCCACTACACTATAACATAGCATGATATTTAAAGTAGTTTATAACAATGGGGCAAAATGTAGCTTTGTTAAGTTAAGAGAATTTGTTTATTTTTACTGCCAAAGTAAATGTACGTATTATGGATCTGAGTTTGTTATACTGTACTATCAGTGCCTGGCATCATGGAGGCAGCGCTGGAGTGGTATACACGACAGGGACTGCGGGTGCTAGCTGTGGCGGGCAAGACTCTGAGGGAGGGACTCACCTTGGGCCAGGTAATTGCTATGCATTATCTTTTACTTTCTGTGGCATATACGCTAATGCTATTTAATTATGTCAGCTTCTCCCTGCTCCTATATTTTGAGGTTTATTATGGCTTTATAGCTACAGTAATAAAACAAATTGGAGTTATCATAATTAAAGTCCAACCATGTGCACAAAAAATAAATGTGATCAACTATATTTATATACACTGTACAGTACACAGTTAGAGGGCGTGAACCTTGTATCTCAGTTACCATATTTGAGTTCTATCAGTTCATTATGGCAGCAGGTTGACGGGAGAAAATATTGATAGCTAGGTAAGTTAATCTCATACCATTTTTTTTTAGAAAATTAAGCAAACACATTAACAACATTCAATAGTAAATAATTTGCTCGTAAATATGAAAATTTAATTTAGTTTTGAATATTATTAGACTGTTATTCCCAACTTGAACTACCAGTGAAATAATTATATTATTTATTGACTGAATTTTGTGACTGTTAAACCATATACTGAATCTATTTCTTCAGAGCTCTCTTTTCTTTCTGGTGTGCTTGACATTGCAGTACAGTATATGACTCCTGATTAAATTTATCATTCCAATTTCTATGTGAATTTATACTGAATATGTGATTAGGATCATAAATTGCTTACTATTGGCAGAGGACTGTGGTCACCAACCCTTTAACATGAGGATGATACACTTTGAATGATTGATTGATTGATTGATTGAGTGATTGATTGGAGTATTAGATGGCGAGCAACTACTGTAGTTGATTGTTGTAAGAATTTGTGAAAGATACTATTATGTTTTTGTGGTAGGTGGAGGTGTGCCCACGTGAGGAACTGGAAGATGAATCAGCATTCCTGGGTCTGGTGTTGTTACATAACAAGCTCAAAGTGGAAACCGCACCTGTCTTGGCCATCCTCCATAAGGCGCGCCTCGCAACTGTCATGGTCACAGGTTAGCTCCTGACAAACTGGTTCAGGGTTCTTCTTTTCACACACACACACACACTGTCAACTGTACACTTCGTGGTTAAAATGCATTACTTACACTAGTATTTCAGACCCAGATTAAGAATGACTGTGCTGCTGATGAGTTAGTGTAGGTTGTGTGAAGTTAACAAGGGGCCAAATGGACACCCCAAAGCCTTGTGGAAGAGGAACTCAGCAGTTCAGAACAAAACTATTAAAGCATTAAGAATAAAGATGATATTTTTTCTCTACAAGAACTGGAAAACATGATACAAGTGATACCAACCGTTGCCTGTCATCACTAGTTCCTTTGCTAAGCTTATGTGAGATGAGAAATTAGATAGAGGTGGCTGTACTTTTAAGAGTACATAAAATTTTTATTAAGAGAAAAAAATTAATAAATCACTCTCCCATATTACACTGTAACCAATCTTACAAGACCTGTTTTTCAGGGGATAACTTGTTGACAGCATTAAGTGTGGCCCGTCAGAGTGGAATGGTGCAGGCAGGCATTCAACTGATTGTTGTGAAGGCAGTCGTGGAGGCAGCCTCAGCTAAGGCAGCACAGCATCTGAAAGTCTTCTACTATGATGCTGACTCTGTGGGAAGGCTGCATAACCAGGTGAGGTGTCTACATTTTCTCCAGATAATACATAGGGAGCTTGCTGCTAACTTGAAAGGGAGACTACAGTACTGCGCAGCATACTGTATATTTAATTTTCCCGTGGGAAGGTTTTGGGTCTCTGACTCTGAAAGAGTTGTAATGATATCAGCTGCTTTTAAATGGATTCACAACTGTGAAGGGAGTTGATATAGTTAGAAGAAGCATTGTGTTGTTCAGTTGATCCCTAAGGTCGTCGTTATGTCATGCTGGATACTCTGGCGTCACCGTGATATCAACTGTGCTTAAAACCCCAGGGAGATAAACTGAACTTCAGACACCCTAGGGAGATCAATTGTATTTTATTCACTCAGTCAGGCTAGGTCAGGTTAGGTCAGATTAGATTAGAGGAATTTTGAGACTATCCAGAATGCGTTGTGGCTGTCAGGAAAAACCTACGACTCAAAAATTTCCTTTCTGGTTATTTTGTTGTGTCCACAATGTATTGTGATTATTTTTTCACTCAGTGAGTGAATTCATTGTTTGAACCTAGAACATCTACATAAATCTGGACTCACAGGTACTTCAGATTATTATTTTTATCAAAGGAGATCAAGATGTATTTGTTTTAGGTAACTGGGTCAAATATTGACTAGGAAGCAGTAACTGTTTTCTTAGTAATCCAAAATTTCAAAATTATATTTTAGGTTCAAAGGAAAATTTGCTGCAAGAAACTTTGGGATAACTGAAGCATTGAGAATTATGAGGACATGTACAACCTCACATCACGATATTAGCATCGCTATACAAGATTAGCCACCAATGTGTATTGGTTCTTTAAATAGTAATAAAGATGTTGAAAATAATTCACTGAAGGCTTTCCTTATATAATACTCCCACATTGCCACAATTTGAAAATTATGAATTGTACACATCATTAATACAAACTGAATTATACAGCCATTATTGTTTATTCCAGCAAAAAATGATCTCTGTGAGAAATGATAACTACGCACTGGCTACAGATGGAAAGACTTTCGACTTGATCGCCAACAGTCAGGATAAAAATTTGTTTCATCGGCTACTGCACAAAGGCCGAGTCTTTGCCAGGATGAAGCCTGAACAGAAGGTCACTGTTGTGGAGACCCTCCAAAATCTTGGGTACTGTCCCTTATTCTTCTCTTTCTCTTTGAGTCATCTCACCCAAGGGAGGATATTATTTTTCACATGTTTTCCTACACCGGCTCTTTTACTTTACTTTTTTACTTTTATCCTCTTCGCCAATGATCGTCTTGATAGCCGCTTTGGCGGTCGGTCACGTCTCTGTTATGCACTGTTGGCAAGTACTGGGCATGCATTGGCTCTTGTATGTATCTGAACCTGCTCCAGTGTTGGTCAAGTTTGCTCTTGAAGGAACTCGCACTAGGTGCCGTCACAACACACTCTGGCAGATTGTTCCAAGAGTTCACAACTCTCACTCCGAATAAGTTGGCCCTCACAGTTTCTGGATTTGTGCCTTCTTCAACCTTGAGCTGCGACCCTTTGGAAGGTGGGCGTCCGCCAGCTTCAGGCATGGACACTCGACAGTGTAGTGCCCTCTGAGATGTTTATACAATTCAATTATGTCACCCCTTGACCGTCTGTAATATAAGCTAGGCAGTTGCAGGCGTTCTAATCTCTCTGTATGACTGAGGTGTCATAGTGCAGGCACCAGTCTGGTGGCCCTCCTTTGGACATTTTCAATCAACGGACAGTCCGTAGCATATCTCGATGATCAGACGGGATGACAGTACTCCAAACGGGGAAGTACCTCACTATTGAAGATCATTACGAGGGATGGACTGTCTGGATATCTGAACGACCTTCCTATAAGACCTACAAGTTTAGTCGCTTGATTCATCTTCTTCTCACAATGGCCCGAGAACTTCAGTTCATTGTCAACATACACCACCAGGTCCTTTTCACAGTCTGTCTCTATTAATGCAGTTTCTTCTTCCCGTTGGGATTTGTGATACGCCTCCTTACTGTTGGTTCGACCTAGGTGCATCCTCTTACGCGTCATGACATTGAATCTTAGCAGCCATTTGCTCGACCACTCTTGAAGCTGACAGATCTTTTTGGAGCTCTTTAGGGTATTTGGTTCTTAATTTCCTTGAATAACTTGGTATCGTCTGCAAACATTGGTATGGAGGGGTGTTTAGCTTCCGACATGTCCTTTATGAAATAAACACACAACAAACGGTACAAAATACGATTTCGTGAGATTAATCACCACACACTGCTTGCGGTCATGAAGAAAACCTCCGATCCACGCGAGGACACTTCCCCGAATACCGTACCCTTCCAGTTTAATTCTCAGCCTTTCATGGGGTACGCTGTCGAAAGCCTTGGCAAAATCTAGGTATACATTGTCGATATTGCCGCCAAGTTGTATAATTTGGGTCCAAACATCCGGTACCTTTAGTAATTGTGTTAAGCAGGAGCATCCCAGCATAAAACCATGTTGGCAGTCCTTTACAAGGTTGCTTCTCAGTAAATGTTCCATCATGGCATATCTTATAATGCTCTCTAGTACACACACTATGCTTTTCAGACTCACTGGTCTATAATTATTCGTGGAGTGACGATAGCCCTTCTTGAATATAGGACTCACATAAGCCATATTCGTCACTGGGAACCTTTTACTCATCCAGGCATTCACAGAACAGAATCTTAAGCGCCTCAGCTAGCTCGTTGCACAACTCTCTTAACACTCTTGGATGCACCATGTCAGACCAAGGACTTTTATGAACCTTTTGCTTTGACAATTTATTTATTATACCATCTTCTGAGAACACAATGTGCGTCTGCGCTGTGTCGAACCGTCTATCTTCAAACGCAAGAAGATTGCTCGCATCTTCTCTTGTGAACACCGAAGAAAAGAATTTGTTCAATGTCTCCGCCTTATCTTAGTCAGAATTTGCATAACTACCATCTTCAAGCCCCAGAACTGATACGCGTAATCTCGTTTTTAGTTTCGATTTTGTTTAGCGGTAGAAAGCCTTTGGGTTTGACTTGACCTCACTTGCAATTTGCCTCTGGAACTCTTTTTCAGCCCTTCTGCACTCTGACTTTGCTTGGTTCCTGGACCTGGCATACAACCTCCTGTCCTGCTCACCATTTGACCTAATCCACGTCTTGAATGACTGAGTTTGTTCTTTTTAACTTTGTCGACCGCCGCATGGTTCATATGTAACGCTCTCCTTGATTTCCTGGAGGCACTTGGTTTGGTCTTGGGTAAATAGTTATCGGTCAGATGGTTCACTTTAATGACTATGATATTCAGCGTAGTGTCTGCGTTCTTATATATTAGTGAGTCAGGCCAGTGAATACCCCTCATCTCCTCGCTCATCCCGTCGTAATTACCCTTGTAATATTTTAACCTTGGCCTGGTTTTGTCATGAACCAAGTAACAGTTAAATTTGAAGGATAACGTGACATGGTGACTGGTGCTAACGGGGGCTAGATGTTCCAGCTTGACCACCCTATCCTACTTTTTAGTTATGATGAGGTCCAGTGGTTTGGGTGTTGCTCCCCTCTTCGCTACTGATTGGCTTGTTAGCTACTTGAGCGGGAGGTCGGTCATGTCTCTTTTAGGCACTGTTGGCAAGTATTAGGCATGCACTGGCTCCTCAATGTATCTCCTGTGCCAGTGTTGGTCAAGTTTGTTCTTGACTGAGCTTATACTCATTGTCATCACAATATTCTCTGCCAAATTATTCCAAGAATTCAAAACTCTCACTCCAAAAAAGTTTGCCTTGCCAACCTCCTGAACTTGTGGCTTCTTCAACCTAAGGCTGTCACCAAGCGGCGAAGAGGATAAAAGTAACAAAAAGTAAAACGTAGTGTGGTGGGCTTCCACTAGTTCCAGGTATGAACACTCGACTGAGTGATTTTAGAATGTTATTAAGTCATCCCTTGCTTGTTTATAGTATCACTTAGGCAAATGCAGGCATTCTAATCTCTCTGGGTACCTGAGGCACAACCTGGTGACCCTCTTTTGGGATATTTTGAATTGACTGGCAGTGTCTAGAGCATCTCAGGGAACAGATGGTGTAACAATACTCCAAACGGAAAAGCACCTCACTTTTTAGGACCATTATGAAGGACAACCTTCTAGGTACATGAACACCCATCTTACAAGACCTATTAGCTTCTTTGCTTAATTTACCTTCTCACAATGGTCTGAAAACCTCAGTTTACAACTGGTAATTCTTGTAACTATGTACAGTATATATTTTCATTAAAGGAAAAAATGCATTGGCAAGTGTGAGCTCTAGGGGGCTACTCAGGGCTACCCCATCTGTTTTTCTAGAGTGTATACAGTAATGATTTGCTTACAAGAAACTGGTGATCCTTGGCTGTCAAAGAGAAAATTTCACGAAATTGAGATTGAGGCCATTTGCATTGTCGGTGGTACTGAAGAGACTGTCCACACAAATTACATTGTTTCGTCGAGAGAAATGTTAGTACAGTATATAATGACTTAACATCAAGACGAGTCATGACTCAGTAACAACAATGGCTGGGCAGTGGACATTTCATAACAATATAATGATAAGAGATTATACAATGAACAACATGGAATGTGGTAACTCCATTAAAAATAGAACCTTAAATGTGAATAAATAATTAACAGGGAAAAGCCTGTTGCGAGTGTCCTTCCAGAACACAAGTGCCTCGTCTTGTCTCCACGTTTACTGACCGTTCCACACAGCAGTGACAGCCGACAGGCCAGCCAGCACAAGGAGTCATGTTATTTCCAATTTTTAAAATGGAATTTGACACCACACAGATAATAATCTAAATATTATCAACAGATATAACAATTCTGTTGAAAGCATAATGCGTCTAATTGACAAAAAAAAAAAAAAAAAACAGCACATCGTTACACTCATACAGTAGGTGGTTGTGGGGTTTCGTGATGTGGAATCGCACATAGGATGGAGGTGAGAAGGGAAACTCAGCTATGGCGGTTTTCTTATGCTATATAAATATATTATATACAAAACAGTCTGGCGCTGGGAAGTTGCTGCGCGGTAGAGGAGTTGCTGTGCAGGAGCTTCTTAAGAGGAGGTGTTGCGTGTTGCATGGCTGTAGCTAGAATGTCCACTTCGGTCGGTCGGTGATACGGAGAGAAGAGAGCATTAGCTCTGAGAGTGCAAGAAGGGGACAGTACAAGGTAAAGTTCAGAAGTGGGAAATAGAGGAGGAGGTTAACAGCAGGTGGGCTATCCACCTTGTGGAGCAATGTCCACTTCACGGCGAGACTGGGAGTTTATATACACGTCCAGCGGACGTAGAACGGAAGTAAGCATCGCCCCCCTTAGTCTAGACTCTAAGAGTCTAGACGGCGAGACTTGTCAGAGAAACTTGATGAGAGTCTAGACTCTAGACGGTTAGGCTTGTCAGTTGTAGGGGAGAGTATCCACTACATGGTTTTTCACTTATCAATACGTGAATGGTTCTATCTTGATTTGATTTCATTAACGATGGTTAATAACAGTTCTCTTGAGTTATTAATTATATTGTTAACTTTTAAGTTTAATTATTCTCTTTGTTGTTCTAGTGTTTTCATTTTATATTTTTTAATCATCCTTTAAAATTAATTAACCCTTTAATTTTTGTAAACTAGTTTACATAAAAAATTAAGATAGTTTTCTTTGAAATATCTGAAAGTAAAGTTGCATGTCTACGCGTTGGCAAAAATTTTCCTTGTTCGTTTAAAATTTCCTAAGGAAAAGCCCACTAATGAAAATATGTATATACAGTATAGTAGTATAGTTTCATAAGGAAACACCTGTTGATCTATTTACATTTTCACAGGCGCTATGTTGCTATGTGTGGTGATGGTTGCAATGACTGTGGGGCACTGAAGGTGGCAGACACAGGCATCTCTCTGTCATCAGCCGAGGCATCTGTGGCAGCGCCCTTCACCTCAAGGAAGGAGAACATCACCTGTGTCCCCACACTCATACGTGAGGGCCGGTCAGCTCTGGTCTCCATATTCACTGCCTTCAAGTATAATGTTGTCTCCTGCCTTGGTGCCCTCATCTGCGTCCTTTTCCACTTCTCGGTAAGTAATTTACCAGTAAGCCCAGATCCCACTCCCTGGCTATCTCGGTTGAATTTGACATATCTGGGGGGTCAGATGATCTGAGTGAAAGCATTGGTCCAGTAAAACAAAATTTAAGGCCAGAGCCAACAAATTCATAGTCTTAAGTATGGTCAGGGTGTAAGAGCGCGATTTCCTTAATTCATATTTTATCTTCCAGATTATTCTTTTCTGTTATTATTCTTCAATACTTTATATATATACTTTATATTCTTGCTTATATTATTATATAAGTGACTCATATTTCTCTGATTATATTTTCCAAGGCAATGTTCTTTCTTTTTATTTCTTTTCATATACTGTATATATTATATTTTCTAAATTTCAATGTCCTTACCTTGCTGGAGTATACTCTGTTTTATTATATTCTTAACCATGGATTAGTCTTGGGAACCATGTCATTCTTAGTACAACACTTATTATACTTACAATGGTAGCCTGCCACCACCCAGACTTTTATTAGAATATAACATGTCTCAAGGAATGGTTAGGTAGCGTGTTAGCGAGTTTAGGCACGAGAGTTACTACTATTATTTTCTGAGAACCAATGTGTGAAAGGAATAGAGTGGTGATACTCGTAATTTACTAATTTAATATGTATTATCACAGGGAATGAATAAGATGTTAATTAAGTTCACTCAGACAAGACTGGACCCCCTTGGTCGGACTTTATCTTGAATAGTAAAATAGATCATTTCTTGATTATAGCATTATACACTCAGGGTATTACTTCATGGTCATTACAGATAAATACGTAACACACTTGACAAACTCCACAATTAGAACAACATCAAACACATCCTGTCAGTTCGGAAGGAACAACATGGTACTTTAATGCTCATTCAGTGGTAGTACACCTGGGTGGAAAACTCAAATACTACAATCAACAGTACTGCTGGTAAAACCAACATCCATGGGTTCAATACTTAACCTGGGATATTATATTTCTGCTAGTCATCCCCAACCATAGATATTAATACTGCTCCATACATATAGCCAAGATCAATGGACCAGACAAGAGTGCGTCCACGAGGGAAGAGAGTTGTTTACTGTACCCAGCTGAGCCGAGGCTCGCTGGCAAGGGAGCGCCTGGGGAGGTAGACTCGTGGCAGTGTGTCTTTATGGTGCTTCCCGAGAAATCTTGTCCTGGGATTCTAATCTGACCATATTAAAGACATCCTTCAAGAACCATCTTGCCCATAGGCGGCTACCGAACCTCAATAGTGGTGCCAACACAAACAGTGCCTGGAGATGCGTTGAGGAAGTCACGAAAGTGTATGTCTAACTTCAACTATACAAAGCATACGTCTGGCAACGATGCAGATGATATTTACGTTGCTCGACTTATTTGGCACAGGATATATTACTATGTTAAAACATGAACACTGATATTCACAAAATCGACTGAGTTAAACTGACTTAACATGACGGCGGAAAACAATCGTTCACATACCTGGAGATGCGTTGAGGAAGTCACGAGAGTGTGATTTTTCCTCGTGCATCCGTATATATATGCGAGCCTGGGGCACTTCCGGCCCACATATCCCTACCAGAAGGACTAATCTCACCAACAACAGACCTTCTATTCAAATTGGTCGCTGTACACCTAGCTGTGACCGTCAGTGTCACAGGTCAGGCTAATTTTCTACGTCTATTTTTATAATCTACTCAGAGATTGAGTTTGTCAGGAAAGAGGTGAAATGGAGTTACATACGCACTAACAACTCTACTTGCCGGAAACCACAGACCACTGCCCAGGAAGAACAGCCGTTAGGTCTTGGAGATTTTGAGTTTGACAGAATCTTTTCAGTAGATTAATGACTTTCTAAAATAGACAACTGACACTAACTAAACTACAAACATCAGATTCCCTGATGTTTGGGCAACAAAATAATATAACTTCAGTAGCAATCGGAAATTCATGGATATCCCCACGGACGACATAAAGCTATGCCATTCAGATTGACAAACTCGTCACTCACTTACTTGACAGGTCTTACTAACAATAAGGACAGTTGAAGCTTTCAACACAACTCACAATGGATCTTGAATGTTCCAACTGTAAACAGACATATCTAGGTTGCCTCACCAATTGTAACCAAAGTTGCAATTATAAATGAAAAGGAAAACTGCTCAGAGACGTGACCGATCGCCCAAGCGGCTAACGAGCCGATCAGTGGTGATGAGGATAAAAGTAAAAGTAAATTCTGTCATTACTAAGGAATAATGAAGTCTCGGGTGCATTCTAAGATTGAGATAAAACGGAGGACTCAGGCGTCCTGACGCGATGAGAAAGCGGACTCCTCAGATGGGAAATTCAAATAAAGAGAGCATAGCTACATGTTTTGTGGGCTATTGAGCGTAATATGAATCGTCTGATTTTACGTTAACTGACGTGTATGACCATGGTCATTACAAGGGAATGTCTTGAAATTCTGCTTACTAAAATCAATAACTTCAGACAGGGCAACTAAGGTCAGTATCTGGAGACAGATCTAGTCAGTTAACTACTGAAGACTAGGCTAGTCAGGTCCTGTAGACTTCATGACCTGCTAGGGGCAGTGCAGATAAACCACATTGTAAACTACGCCCATTTTTTATACAGAAGGAGGTAGTTTGGCAGGCACTCACTTGACTGCTCTTATTTCCCTATTTGTAAAGTTAACTACCCATTCAGAGCTATGGTAGGTGGACTGTGGTTGTCATGATATGAACAAACAACACTCAAGACAAAATATAAATGCTGTATCCACTTAATGCAAAAGGCAGTCAAAGGAAATTTCACAGTATAGTACAGTATAGTATGAAGAGTTTTCTGTTAATTAGGTGTATATGTATAAAGCCTACGTATGTTGTATCAGTTAGGTAGGTGTATATTCTTCTTTTCTTTTATCCTCTTCACCACTGATCAGCTCGTTAGCCGCTTGGGCGATCGGTCATATCTCTGTTACTTTTCTTTTTCTTTTATCATCTTCACCAAATAATCGGCTCGATAGCCGCTTGGGCGATCGGTCACGTCTCTGTTACGCACTGTTGGCAAGTACTGGGCATGCACCGGCTCCTGAATATACCTGAACCTACTCCAGTGTTGGTCAAGTCTGGTCTTGAAGAGCTCACAATCGGTGCCGACACAACACTTTCTGATACATTGTTCCAAGAGTTTACAACTCTTACTCCGAAAAGGTTTGCCCTCACAGTTTTCTGGAACTACGGCCACTTCAATCTTGAGCTGTGACCTCATGTGGGACGAGCGTCCGCCAGCTCCAAGTAAGGACACTCGACTGAGTAATGCCCCTTGAGATGTTTATACACCTCAACTAGGTCCCCCCTTGCCCGTCTGTAGTATTGGCTAGGCAAGTTCATGCGCTCCAATCTCTCAGGGTAGTTGAGGTGCCGAAGTGCAGGCACCAGTCTGGTGGCCTTCCTTTGAACATTTTCAACCAACTGACAGTCCCTTGCATATCTCGGGGACCAGACGGGGTGACAGTACTCCAGATGGGGAAGCACTTCACTCTTGAAGATCGTTACGAGGGACGGACTGTCTATATATCTGAATGACCTTCTTATAAGACCCAATAATTAATTTGCCTGATTTACCTTCTTCTCGCAATGGCCCGAGAACTTCAGTTCATTGTCAACATACACACCTAGGTCCTTCTCACATTCAGTCTCAAACAGTGCAGTTTCTTCGTCCTTTTGGGACTGTAGGGGTATCGAGATATAATGTTGTCTAGCACTCAGGATGGATGGAAACTCTAAGGTGGTTTTCTTGTATAATATAAGTTATATGATAGACAGTCTGGTGCTGGAGGTGCCGTGTGGTGAGGGGCTGCTCAGTAGAGACGTTCGGTGAGTAGCGTGTTGTAGGAGGTAGATGTGCAGGAGCTTCGTTAGAGAAGATGTTGCCTGTTGCTGGCCTCCTGGTTGAATGAATGCTGACAGCGTGGAGCTTGCTGGAGGAGGTGTTGCTTGTTCAGGAAGATGGGCAGAATGAGAGTTGGTTGGTGAGGAAGCTCAGAGAAGGACATGCTCGCTGGCGGGAGCGAGGACCGCCAGGCAGGCGAGGAGAAGGCGAGGGCCGCCAGGCAGCGGCGGAGGTGGTGTTGCTTGTTCAAGTAGAGAGGCCGGAATGAATCTCAATGGAGAGACAGAGCTTATATACCCAGCAGCCGTGAGTCATCTATGAGTCACGTTGGGAAAACCCGAGAAGTAACCGGTCTTTGGCTCGGTTGCTAGGATACGGTGACATTGAAATGCGGATACGCAGTTGTAGGGGAGAAGTCCACTACAGGACATATGATACGCCTCCTTACCGTTGGTACGCCCCAGGTGCATCCTCTTACACTTCGTGACATTGAATCTCAGCAGCCATTTTTTCGACCATTCCTGGAGCCCACAGTGGTCCTTCTGCAGCTCTTCACAGTCCGCTTGGTTCTTAATTTCCCGAAATAACTTGGTGTCATCGGCAAACATTTGTATGGAAGAGTGTACAACGTCAGGCATGTCATTTATGAAACAAACAAACAACAGCGGGCCCAATACACTGCCCTGTGGTACCCCACTTGTGACAGGTACAGATGACGATTTCATGCCATTAATCACCACACACTACTTGCGGTCATGTAGAAAGTCTTCTATCCACGCTAGGACATTTCCCCGAATTCCGTACCCTTCCAGTTTGATTTTCAGCCTTTCATGGGGTACACTGTCTAAAGCCTTGGTAGTAGGCAGCTACCAAACAGGGAGGTACTACCGCCTGGGAAGATATTGGAAGCATAATGTGTTGTCCAATGGTAGACCCTGCTGCCATATGGCATCACGAAAATTGTGACCAAGTCCCAGGTTGCTGATCTGACTTTCTGCTTCATTTACACGCAATTGCAGGGTCTCGAGTGTTTCTCTTACCATTGACAACACAACATACATATATCGTTTCTCACTTTTGATCTTTTTTTTATTTA